AGTACTTTGTAATTCCTTTGTTGAGTGGGACTATAACATACAAACTATTGGATGAACACTGAATTGACCATGTCTACAAACAACTCCAGGGCAAACAAAAGCTCTCATCATGACCCTGCCGGTCATGTTACAATGAAGAGTGGTGTGACAGTAAAACTGGTTTGTGGGATACTAATCGCTTTTAATGTGTTTCAGCAACAAGAAGCTGCGGACGCCCCCCAACTTCTTCATCATTAACCTGGCAGTCAGTGACTTCCTCATGGCAATTACACAATCACCCATCTTCTTTGTCAATTCCCTTTACAAGGGTTGGATTTTTGGAGAAACAGGTATTTTCCTACATCCAAGGTTTTGCATATCAGAGGATAATACAAATAATTATATCAGGTCTTAGAATGAGATAAATAGAACCTGACAACAAAATGTGAGCCGACATGAAGAAGCAGTGTGTGAAAGGCTATGATATCCCCGTGACTCAGTAGCTCATGCAACCAACAATAACTTAAAGTAGTAGTTTTCAGTATCAGTGTTTTTCTGTATATCTTTCTGGAGGAATTTTGGCCCACTCTTCTTCACAATGTTGCTTTAGTTCACTGAGGTTTCTGGGCATTTGTTTATGTGCAGCTCTCTTAAGGTCCCACCACAGCATTTCAGGCAGACTGAGGTCTGGGCTTTGACTGGGTCATGGGAACTCCTTGATTCTTTTTTAGGCATGCTGCTGTACATTTAATCATTCGCTGATGTGCTCGGGATCATTGTCGGCATGACACAATTTCTGCCAAGCTTTAGCTTCATACTTGACTCTAGAACACTTTGGTTAACAGAGGAGTTCGTGGTTGGCTCAGTGAGTGCAAGGTTCCCAGGTCCTGTGGCTGCAAAACAAGCCCAAATCATCACTTCTCCACCACCACAGCTGGTATGAGGATTATGCTAATTTGCTGTGTTTAGCTTTTACTGATCATTGTGACCAAACACTTTGGTCGTGTCTCTCCAAAGGACATTGTTCCACAAGTCTTGCGGTTTGTTCAGATTCAACAGGGGAAGACACACAGACTTGAAACCAGGAGGCTTGTACTGGCAATCCTTCCGAATAAGTCTTGCTTGTTCAGTCTTTTTCTAATTGTATTGTCATGAACTTTAACATTTAATGTTCTAACTGAGGCCTACATAGTTAGAAATGTAGTTCATGAGATATTTGCGAATTCTGCAAGCATTGCATGGCCTAACCTTGGGGCAATGTCGGGTTCTGGGAAGATTGTGGGAAACCTGAATGCTGCAGACCAGCAAATTATCACAAACTTGTGGTTTTATAGAGGTGCTCACATTTGCTGATGAGCAGCTAATCAAGTTCATGTGATTAACAGTGCCTGGCTGATACTTTCCCTTTTAGTTCATATCGAAGCAACAAGGATGTGCTTAGTATTTCACACACTGCATTTTCTGTTTCAGTTCTGCATTTTGGCTTAGTTTCTTATTAAATAAATGATGTCCTTGCAGCTTATATGAGGTTGTATCTACCTAATGATAAGGACCAGATTGTATTTATTATGTCCTGATATGTAAAACCTTAGAGTTGTGCTTTTCATTTTACCATGACTGTATAAATAATTTACATTTAATATTAAATATCTTTATCCTTTACACACATTTCTACGTAAACGTTGTTCATATTGTAATCCTATTGAAATCTCTTATTGAGCTACATACCATAACTTAATTTTAACTGCTGTAACGAAGACATTTCCCAACCAATGGATAAATAAAGTATGCGCTTTCTTACTTTATATAGCACCTTTTTTTAGTTCGAATCTGTTGATGGTGGAACAATGTTTAGTGGAGATGTGTTCACCAGTCTAACAGAGAACAAAAATAAATAAATAAATAAATGCGTACTTTTTTCCTTTTCCCCTGCAGGATGTAAAATATATGCCTTCTGTGGTGCTTTATTTGGAATCGCCTCAATGATAAACCTTCTGGCCATCTCTATAGACCGCTATGTTGTTATCACCAAACCTCTGCAGGCATTACAATGGACCTCCGCGAGACGCACTTACCTCATTATTGCCCTCGTGTGGTTATATTCATTAGCCTGGAGCCTCGCACCACTCTTAGGATGGAGTAAGTGACTTCATTTTTCCCTCCTTACCAATTTTTAAGTAAGCGTCCACCTTATCATACTTTTTTTTCTCTAAAGGTTCATATATACCAGAAGGTCTGATGACCTCGTGCACATGGGACTATGTGACCTCCACTCCAGCCAATAAAAGTTACACTTTGATGTTGTGCTGCTTCGTATTCTTCATCCCTCTTGGCATTATATCCTACTGTTACCTCTGCATGTTCCTAGCAATTCGCCAAGCAAGCAGGTACATCTAGATAAATAGATTTATAATATTCAATATTATAAATATTACTTTTTTTCTGAATATGCATAATTTAATATTGTTTTTAGGAAGTCATTTTAATACATGTTTGCTGGAAGTCCCATTCTGGCCGCTTGCATGTAAGCCAGTAAAAAAAAGGGGAAAAAAATACCTTTTCCAATAAACAGTACTCACCTTTATGGCGACTACTGCAAGAAGTGATGAAAGTCGGGTTTTTGGCTACAACCCAGGGACCAAGCATCAGTTTTTAGTGGACTAAACTCAAGTTTTTAAGTCTGAGGTCATCAGGGCAGGATCATGCATCTCATTGTTTCTGTACATAGTCAATTTGTTCTATAGGACAATTAGTGCAGTTCTACTGCAAGCTCGTGAGACATCTAACTAATAACCTTTCCCTTTGACTGCTGTAAAGCATTCCAGCACATGCCTGCTTCAGCATAATTTAAAAGGAGATTTGCGGCCAGCAACATAATTCAGATCATAGGGTCGGTGCACACTGTAAATGCTCACATGCACCTGGTCAGTTTGGGACTTCAATTTAAACTAAGTGTATGCATGTGCAATGATGTTTAAAAAGGTGGTAAATGTCAAAGTGAGATCCCAGTTTCTCAGTAGATCGCTGTATGTGCTGCTTTTAAAGATCCCCTTACCCACACCTCTGGCCTTCATTTCACCCTCTAAAGTCTTATAATTTGTTACTGACCACAAAATTCTTTGTCTTCTTATAGAGATGTGGAGCAGTTGGGCAATCAAGTGAGAAAGTCAACACTGATCCAACAGCACTCCATCAAAACTGAATGGAAGCTAGCCAAGATTGCTTTTGTGGTCATCATAGTGTTTGTGCTTTCTTGGTCCCCCTATGCATGTGTCACCCTCATAGCATGGGCTGGGTAAATATGATACGTTAGCATTTAATGCTAGGATATGTAAAAATAGCTTGGTAGACCCTGGTTTGCAGGGAGTTGCAGGTAGTAGAACACCCTTACTTAAAGCATTTCAAGCTACAGTATAAGTATGATCATCTCTTATCATGTTTCATCTCTGTCCATCAGATATGGAGGCATTCTCAGCCCTTATTCCAAAGCCGTCCCAGCTGTTATAGCCAAGTCATCAGCCATATACAATCCTGTAATCTATGCCATAATTCACTCAAAATACAGGTAACTGTGATCATCTAATTAACTGACAAACTAATTCTGAAATGTAATGGCACAATTTGTTAAAAGATCATGTTTTTTCTTTAACAGGATCACCCTTGCAGAAAAAGTACCTTGCTTGCACTTCCTAGCCCATGCTCGCAGGAAAGACTGCATATCAGTATCGCTCAGCGAATCCTCCTTAAGGGACTCCGTGCTGAGTAAACAGTCATCAGACTCCAAGCTGCACACAGTTTCCTCCATTACAACAACTGACACGGTGAGTACTGGATGCTGCACTAGTCTTTGAAAGTGAGAAAAATCCTGAGCATGTTAACTGTTTACAGCAGTATACAATTACCGTCCCATTCATATAACGTGGGTTTAGTTAGATATGTCAGTAGTTGTAGTAGTTTTACCACAAGAGCAGTTGCATGTTGTAAATATGCAGATGTAAATTCTTACCTTGATATACATACGTGTCTTGTAGCATGTTTGGAATGATGTGGAGCTGAATCCTATTGATCAGAGTCATACTTTGGGATCCAGCTATTCCCTTGGAACTCTGCGGGATAGAGAGTGTCAGTCATTGACTAAACACACAAAAAGAAAGAAAAGCCGAAGCCAGGAACAGCTAAGGTAGGCCCTAATCATTTGAACTGTTGATTTCCAATTCATATTACTGGCAAGTCAAACGCTTTGAAGATAAAACATGTCTTTCCCACAAAACACTTACATTTATATTTCATTTTAATTCTCAGAGCAAGGTTCAGTGAACAGTTGTGATCACAATCTATTGACTAAGTCAGTTAAAAGACTTCTATTGCATATTGGAAGGAAGAGGAATACGGACAATCTGGAATCAGCCAAAGAAATGTAAAGATGGGTATGATATGAGTTTAGACAAGAAGAAAAAAAAGCACAAAAAATATGAAGTCCTCATCCAGCCACACTTTGGATAAATGTCGAGCAAGAAAAATCCAGTGTAATCTTCACACTCAATTTCAAAGACTGATGTTTGGAGGAAGGCTGTTTTGAGAAAAATAAATGGAGTTACACAAAGCAGACAGAGAGAACTGTGAATTGACTTATGGTTCAGCAACACTAGCGTAAAAATAGGATGTCAACCTTCTTGCAACTAACTTGCAAAATTCAACAGTTACCCAGTAACTGCAAAGCAAAGAAACAATTGCAAGTAGTTACAGTCACTAACTAGTCAACCAGAGGTTGAGTGCTTAACAGTCTTAACCTCTGGGCAACCAGTTTCGACCACAAGGCGATTACACAGGTCACATTGTAGGAGGAACCTATCTCCAAACAACTGTGGTCTGACTTGAATTGACTGCAATCGTCAAGGTTTGCAAATAACTGCCGTGTCATTTATAAATGCAAACAGATCGCCAACGTGCTGCAATCAAGTCTGTGCTGATGAGCACAACTTGTATGTGATGCGTTTTTTTGCAACAGTGGACACCAACTAAAATGGGTGCCAAATGGTTGTATTCTGGCTATTTTCCAATAACAAAGTTGCAGAGCACCAAAGACATTTTGCAGTTAAATTACAGTCACAATTTTGTAACCATGTTCAGTTAATTAATGTGCGAAGATTTCTTTCAAAAACACTAGCTTGTTAGATGTTAAAGAGATGCACCAATCCAGCGCTTGGATCAGATATTTGTCCGATCACGATTCAAAAAGCTGGAGCAGAAATAAGTGGCACGATTCAATTGATTTGATTTGATTTGATTTGATTCAGTGTTGTACTGCCATAACCATGCCACTACTCAATAGCAGGCCAGAGGTTGCTAGCGGTTGCAGCAACATGTTTTCTTTGTATGTTTGCACTATTTCTTGACAAAATGTGGTCAAGTGAAATACCACAATTGTAGGTCTTTGACATCGTTGCTTTCCCTGTTGGCGTCTCTCTGTCTCTTGCTTTCACATTATATTCAATGTAACACTCGTTGGGTAGCTTTCATTGCAGGCTCAGTCACTTAATATTATCTCAGCCTCTTGCCAGCTCCACTCCACAACTGACACACAAGTGCACAGTTAGAGCAAGAAAATGAGAACCTTGTGCAACTCTGAATAACAGCAGCATATAACAATGCCTCTCACACTAAGCTAAAATAAGACAAGATCATATATGTAAAAATAAACAAACAAACAAAACAAAAAAACTTACTTTGTTTCCCATTGCCATTTAATAAGCTGTTAATATATGCATTACATTACATTTAGAGCCAGGATATATCATTTTAATAAAAAAATGTAATAATATTTCTCAATCTCTTTCTCAGAGTGAGTAATACAGCTTGTCAATTTAACATCAGCATCAGATATTTGGTATATTTGGCATCAGTAGATATCCAAAGCCACTGTGCTGGTATTGTATTCAAACTGGGAAAACGCTGGATAGCTGCATAGTTAAGGATCTTCTTTGTCTGCGTGTGTGTGTTTGTGTGTGCGCGTGTATGTGTGTGTGTGTCCGAGGACTTGTTTATTATCATCTTGTTGTAAGGACGGTGAGAATTCTCTTTTTAAAACAGCACTGAATGAGGAAGCTAATTGTATCCATTTGTTTACATTATAACTAAGGCTACATGTATTTATATGCCTCAGTAAAATATGATCACTGCTGTATTTCATGTAAAAGTCTGTTCTATATTGTATTATTTAGAAGGTTAAATATATTTGTTTATAACGAGTGTTGCTCATCGATGAACTGATTTGATTGCATTAAAGACACTGAATAACAAGAATACATTTTGTATTTGTTGACACGTGCTCTAAGTTTTTGTGATCCCGCAGATTAGGATTTTTACAACCTAAGACTGGGAAGACAGTGACACGGTTAGTCTGCAACTCAACATTTATCTGAAACAGAAAGCATTCTGATCCAACTTGGATCACAGTCAGATCAAAATGTTTTTGTACCGCTTTTATTCACTGGAAGTATTTTGGGAACTATTTTTATTATGAAGCATTGTGCAAGTCAAAGTATGTGAATTTATGTGCAAAAGACACAACAAACGCACCGTTTTGTCAGTACGTGTTCTCGGGCATAGAACTGTCACAATCACTGACATGCATCGAGTCTTTGTTCACATACTTATGTGTGTATTTGCTGCCATAAATAAAGGTTTCCATATGCTCTTTTGCAAATGATTTTCTGTATCTTTATTTTAATCTAAAGCAAAAATACATCCAAAATAAATCAGTTCTACTATTTTACTTTAAAGCGATTTATTACTGAAGAATTTTTCTTTTCTTTTTTTGCATATAACAGTCGACACTTTTGCATATAATGCATGAGAGTGAGAGGAAGCAGACATTCAGAGCAGGTAGAAAGGTAATTACTTTTAACAGTTTTCTGCTTCCTCCAGCTGAAAAAAGTAACAACTCCCTGATTCATTCAATTACAGTTAAAGATATAGCGGCGCAGTACACTAGACCTTTTAATCCTCCAAGATATGGCTGACGTGAAGAAATGTAACAGTTAGCGCCCCGGTGTTCAAAAAATTCACACTGCCACAAAAATGACTGATTACAAAATACACTGGATAAACCTGCCCTTTCACCAGGATGCTGGGAAATAAAGGCTACATCCTGCATTTATTACATTACTGGACTACTGTCTCAAACTTATCTCCCTAACAGGTTTGTGTCAGTAAATAAATGAGTGGTTTTGTAATTATTGCGTTTTGTGTGATTTTTTTTCCTGTGATGTCATCAGCTGTGTGTTATCCTTAAACTCCTACCCTAAAATCCAAGCATGAGATGACATGCAGTTTCACAGGATGTGAAGATTAAAGCTTTGCCTCTAGAAATGGTAACATAGATGTGTATCTAACCAAATATTACAGTATAAAAATAAAATACTGCAATCTAAATCATATTGTAATCTGTTTCATGCTTATCAAAAGTAAGATTAAGACAATAGGTAATTTTTATTTGTGCTAAAAACGTGAGACACATACAATGATAGACATGCATATTGTAGGCTTGTGAAACAGTCATCGGATCATTGTGGATAACAAAATAAAATACTGGCACACTTCTGTCCTGTCTGAAACTTTAGCTCTGGGTATACTGATACTAACTGTTTAAGGGCCTTTAAGTAACAAACAAGTATAGGTCTAGGCAAATCCCTTCTGCTTTCATTTTCAAATGACATTGCACCCTCTGAAATAGATTTCTACCCTGAGGGCATAAATCACGTGGTATCTTCAGTCAAAGTCCACAGTGCCTGTGGATGTGAAGCATTTTTCTGACCACTAGAGGGCACACTAACACTAAAACCTAAATTACAGCAGCCACATGATAACAAAAATCTAATTTATAAATGAGAAAAGGCTTTATTGGTTATACAATCCAAATCAATGCAAAAAGAGGCCTTAAACTCACACAAAGGAATTTGTGTGGGCTTCCTCTGTGAATATTTTACATGTATTTTACATGTATTTTGAATTTTAAACATTAATGCAGTTTTTTTTTTTTAAATTCCCACCACAAATGCAAAGCAGGGAACACTGATGTCTCCGCTGATAATTCAAAATGTATTACAGCATGTCTGACCTGCACACTGGTACGCCACACGTTAGTGGAAAACATGATGACATCGCTCAGTGATGCAACAGGGGAAGTCAGTGCCCTGTCAGATGCTTAAATATTTCTTTCATAAGATCATGCAAAAGTATCAGCCTCATACCTTCCAGTAACCACTGACAATCAGCTACTGCTGAATGACTAACTTTCCTTGGCTCAAAAATGCCAGTGAGACTATTTTAACTTCTTCATTTTTGCTGCAGGCCTAAATCTACTGCTGTGCGATACTGCAAAGTTTGGCATTAATCTAATACCAAGTAAATACAGGGGCAGTATTGCTGATACCAATACTGATACAGATACAAAGGCAGTTTATAGGGGAGCTTGTCATGACTTGTGACATGACTCACTGTTCATTTGCAATTCCTGAACACATTTTAATGATCATTTTTTAATATTACACAATAATTAGTTAACACAACAAAACACACCTTTTAGCTTTTCATGTATTTTTTTTTCTCTGTAATGTAAATGTATCTGTCTCCAAAACACTTTGGATCAACTTCTTTTGTTTAAGTGTGTTACAGGCTATACATAAAATAGACATAACGGTAAACACAAAAAGACATTTCACGATGTGAAAGTTTGAGGTTCTTCTTTTTCATTCCTAAAAAGAAAATTAATTTAACACAATTCAACGGGCTACACACATTACTGAATTTAAATGACAGAAACAAAGTATTGATTCTGTCAATATCAATCTGGTATCGATACTATTGATATTTTGATAGCATTCACTTGTGACTAAATCCACCACAGAGGTAAAATTATTGTTAATTAGACCGTTACATCAGGCAAAATGTTAACAGGTTGTAAATGAACCAATTTAAGAAGCTATGGACACAAATTTAAGTGATACTATTATTTTGGCTCCTTTTAAAAAAAAAAAAAAAGAATTCATTTTTTAAGCTTTCATACAACACAAGCTAGATACTGTCTATTTGTCAAAAGTGACTAAAAACAAAACAAACAAACAAAAAAACTGTGAAGATGGAACAGTTTGGGGTTTTTGTGGTTGTAGTAGGCTCTTTCACT